TTAAAAAAAAAAAAAAAAAAAAAAAAGCTTATTATTATTATTATTTTTTAATTGGGTAACAGGATGGTTTTACTGGGGTTGTGTCCATGCAATACCTGAATTTTTCTGGGAAGGATCTGCAGCTCTTTTCGTGCCAACCAGGTTTTGCAGGCCGGCAATGACAGGCGCAAAGGAAGGACGACAGCTGCTGTGTGTGCTGTGCTGACCCCCCTGCAAAGGAGACTCAGTGGTCACCTGCATGCAGACACTGACTTGGTCCTAAAAACTTATTATTAGTATTACAATGATGGAAGTCACCATAATCATCTCACAGAAAATTTTGAAGAGGTCAAAGAAGAAAACAAAAATCACAGTCATTCTCCTACCACCCCAGCCCAGTCCCGTGTGAACATTTCCTCCATTGCTTTCTCCATCACATGTGCTTCTATACATGATTTCAACCATTGAGATAGAAAACATGCAATCTTTTGAGCTGTTTTGCTGTACAAGAAATCACAAACATTTCTCTACGTTGCCACATAGTGTTTATGTATGGTCAGTTAATTGGCACTATATGTCACTTGGGGCTACAGTCAACATGTATTCCCTTAGGACTCAAACTGTATTATATATTTTGCTAAAACAAGTATAATAAAACCTTGATTAACAAGCAAACTTGATTAACAACCTTGACCAAATGAAACCCTCAAATGTAAGAGAAAGCAGCAAATATCAAGGGGAAAAGGCTTGTTTTAGGGATGTATAACATTTTTCCCTCTTTTTATTTAACCTCCTCCATCACTGGAGAATGAGTATATAACATTTTTTTCTCAAAGATTTTCCTAGAGACAGTAATAATTTACTCCAATCTGCTATACCTCAGTTACCTGCCTTTTTATTCATTTAAATAAATGTTTGAGATCTACAACATAGAGTCATTTATGGCTAGTAGCTATTCAACAAAAATTGTATACATAGTGAAGGCCCTTTCTAATGTAGAAAACAATATCACCAGTAATGAATAAATAATTTTTCTACCAATTTCAAGGCTATGTCTAATTGCATCAAAATTTTAAGCTAAGCTTAAGATTACTATTTTCAGTTGATAAATTATAATTTGATCCATTTCTTTAACTCTGTGATGTAAGCTGTTTAATATTATAACATCCCTTAAATATGAAAAACTTCAAATATACAGAGAAACAGAATGAATTATACAGTAGACATCCATATAGAGACCACTTAGATTCCACAATTAATATTTTGCTATATTTTCTTTATCACATATCCATTCATCCATTCATTACTCAATGCAGTTTTCTGGATTCATATTAAAGTTGCAGACATCAGTACACTTCACAATGGATATATACATTTAAAGGAGTGTTTTCAGGTTATTCCTGAAAGGATATGATTTATATAAATGGTGTTACAATAAATAACTACCCAGAACTGAGGGAGTATGGCATATTATAACTTTTGCCTAAAAAATTTCAAAACAATATGTTTGCCAAGGCCTTTATAAATACTCTTCCTGGCCGTGTTCCTTCAATTACCCAAGGAAAATATTTCTCAAGGTGCTTTTTCCAATATACACTTTCTTCTGCAGAGTAGATACACTTCATCCCGTCTGGTGGGAAAAACTGTTTTATTTTTTTGGTGGCTGGCTGGTACAAGGAACTGAACGGTTGGCTTCGGTGTTACAAGGCTGTGCTCTAACCAACTAAGCTAACTGGCCAACCTGGAAAAGCCATTTCAAAAGAAGAGGTTTGGTGGCCCCAAGGCTAAGAGTTCTCTCTTAATGAACCCACTTTCTGTGGCTCAAGTGAATGAATTATTCTCCTTAGCCCTGAAAAGAAGGCACCTATCTCCCTATTTTATCGCCGAGAAGGAAATCTGTGCCCCTAGAGGGTCTTGACTGCTTTATATAGGTCTAGATGTGAAAATGTTTGGGAACAGAATCTTCTTTTTCTCCATCAGGGTCAGTCTTCAACTCATTTCCTTCTCACAGTTGGCTACAAGCCTTCTAATTAGCAAACAGTGCCAACTCTCATCTCTGCAATAATTTTAACAACGAAGTGATGATAAAATATATTTAGTTTTGCTTTTTTTTTTAACGGAATTAAACTTCTCCCCTCTGAAATAAAAACTTCTGTGCAAGAAGTTTAGGAAATAGTATTTGAAATTTTGTCCCAAGTTTCCAAAATATGACAGCTCATATTCATATACCAGATAAATGGTACTGGTGGGTTTTTTTTTTTTTTTTGACATTTGATAGTATGGCTTCTAAATCTGTTAGCCCTGTATTTAACCTGAGTGTGATTTTTATTAATCACAAAGACTCTCATATACATCAGGAGAGAGCTAGCTGGTTAGCTCACTTGGTAGAGCATGGTGCTGATAACAGCGAGGTCAAGGGTTCAGATTTCCGCACTAGCAGCCAAGAAAAAAAAAAAGGAAGGCGAGAAATCCAGTTCTACTCACCTCCTCACCTGTCAGTCCAAACTTTTCTTAAAACACACAAATTCCTTCCACCCCTTTGCACCTCTGCATACGCTATTCCCTCTGTCTGGGATGCTTTCTCCTTTTCTTCAGACTCCTTTTAGCGTGAGACCCAATGGGACCTCCTCTGTTCAGCTCTCTCATACTCTGACAGGAAGAACAATTTGATCTCCAGTATGGGTCATTCTGCATTCTAATCTCCTGTGTATAATGAGGCTTTAATGAAATAGTTCAACAGATACGAGTCCTCCTTTAAGGAAGAAGCCTGGCTGAAATGACTGTTTTCTATCTTCAGTTCCAACTATCGATCCGAGTCTAGTCAGAATCATCACTAACCATTCACTTGCAGAATCTCATGGCAGCACTGTGTCTTAATAGGCAAACCTGCTGCCCATTACATAAAACAGATGCAAAAAATAAAGACGTTCCAAACTTAACATGGTTATTTACTGGGTCTGACTGCTTTGAAGATTTCCTAAGCCAGTGAGGCTGTGATACCATCTGAACAATGGTATTTTTTCTCACCCACTTTCTTTTTTTCCTCACCTATATTTGCTAACACAAATGAGGCAAAAGAGGCAGTGAATAGCTTTCCAGAAGCACCTATGTGCTAAGCACAAACAGCATCTTCTGAACAAAGGCCTCGGGGAGGGAGGCCTGGTGTAAGGCAACCAGGGAGGAGACCAAAAGTCATACTTTTAACCTCAAAACAAAGGCCTATCCGTAACCCACACAGGCGACAAGGTAGGTCACATGCAAGGTTCTATAGTTTCATTATGTACCAAATGGGACTAAACATACAGTCTACCATCTTGATTTTGTCAGCCATTACAATGAAAAAATAGTGAAATATACTTTCTTAAAAACAAAAGCAGTGGCACTTACATCAGCCTTGCAAATAAAAATAAGGTGTTTGCTAACCCACAACATATCACCCAGTAAGACCTCCCTCTCATAGGAGGAAACCCCCACACTTCGCTCTCCTAGGAATATATCATTAATTGCCCTCAGCATGTGTGAGTGGCTATTCACAAGTTAACTTTACAGCAATATTTAATTGAATGAATAGAACAATGTTGTGCTAATGAGGGTCAAATTGCCACCAGATGTTGCCTCTTTCTTTTTTTTTTTTAAATAAACACAGCTGTGTACATGCGTGCATAGGCAATATAGAAGTAATAGTGGGAGAGAAAAGTGGTTCCAGGAAAACATTTGCAGGCCATAAAGGACAGAAAAATCTAGGGATTAATGAATTTCTATCCCACCTTTCATTTTTATTTCAAACACATGAAAATACACTGAACTTGGTGCTGTGAATATGCTGTATATTAGACATTTTTTCCCAAACAATCATTTATGAAATGGGGAACTCTCTCCCAACGGGGCAGGAGAGTGAGTCAGTCTGACAGGAAGCCATCAACAACCTGACTGCTCTGTGATGTCTTCCTCATGGAGGTCCAGGAACCAGCTCGGAGTCTTCCAATCTCTAGCTGCACAAGCCCCTGTGCACACTTGGGAAGACAAGAAAAGAGCAGAAATGAAAAGCAGTAGCGTTCATGTGTCTAAAATATCTAAAGAGAGCTTCCACTCATCTCTGCAGCCAAGAATTCTAAGAGGATAATGAAGGCAACAGGCAAAAAGGAGATGCAGTAATCCAGGAATCAAACAAAATAAAACTTAAAAACAACAACACTCGTTTAAATGTGTTAAAAGGATTAGATTTCAATTTGCCTCTTTTCTCTTCCTTCTCCCTTCTGAGGAAAGTATTCATGAACAGCAAAATAATTAAGAAAAGGTGGTGCAGAGGAGGACAGAAAAATCAAAGATGGAGATAATCTATAAATACAAACCCTCTCTTGGGTGATAACTGATAGCTGACTGTATCAGGAAATCAGAATTTTAAAACAAAATGAAATTCATTTGTCTTTGCAAAAGCTTCCATGTCTATTTGTGAAACACAGAATAAAAGGTACTTGGTTATAGAGGAATAGAAATTTACAAGAATTATTAACCAGTGTCTTCCAGGAGAAGTAGGGTCCATGTGGCAGTCACCCTCTGAACTGAATTTTGAACCTTAACATCTCTACAACTTCAGCGACAGAAAGCTTGGGCAGCAGGAAAATAACTCAAGCGGAGCTTTATGACCTTGGGCATGCCAATCTACTTTTAAAACGTCATTTGTGAAATGGAGGAATTTCCAACATAAATATAGAAATTGGTGTAGATAATCTTTAATGTTCCTCCAAGTAATAAAAGCTGCACTTGATGAATTCACAATCATATGCTCCCTGACATAGCCCTAGAGGGAGGGGGATGAATTTTGTGACTACAGGAGAGCCCATCCCATCAAATGCATTTAGAGGACAATGGTGAATCGGAATTCTCACAAGCATGAAAAACTAGCTTAGAAATCCCAGAGCAGGTTCCCTTCCATTCTTTAGTCAATATAACAGAGCTTTCTTTTAAAGTTATTCTTGATACTTAACATAATCAGACATTAGATTTCTAGTAAAAACAAGAGTGAGCATTAAAATCCAACCCATTTTAAAATCGAGCTACACTGGAACAGTTCCCACTGGACTTCAGTTGTGCTGGCTGAGTGGGAAGCAGCCTAGTGACTTACCTTCAAGATAGTGGCCACTGTCTCCTGTGAGGCATTTCTCATGTCCTCCCCATTCACAGACAAGATCTGATCTCCCTGAATCAATCTCCCATCCAAGTCTGCGGCTCCGCCTTTCACGATGTCAGAAATAAACACTCCGCTTCCATTTCTGTTAATACCATAAAACGGGGGTATTGACGCAATCTAATATTTCTTAATTAAAGTCTGAGATTACTAACTTTCTACTTAGATCACTAAATCCTAAAACTTGGAAGAAGGGCCCTACAAAGCCATTGAATCCAACACTATCCACTAACTTCCCAAATGATAAACTTCGGAGTGTTTACTCATTAAATAGTTTATATCTATTTATGTTGTCTATTGTAATTTTCATTTTTATTGACCCAAGGGCATAATTTCTGCAAGATGATGATTTCAGTGGCATAAAATAGAAATTCACTTTAAAAGGTGGAGTTAAGTACTCTTCAAATGTATAGGTTATTTCCCTAGAGAAGATTAGCTCAATTGCTAGTATTTGATCTATTTCTAGTTGTTTTCACTTTCTCCTTTCCTGCCTTTATTATTTTTAAACTCTCAATTATATTTATATGATGAATAAATAAATTTATGTCTCAAAATTCAAGAGGTTAAAAAGGCTATACTCCCTTCTGTTCTCCAGTCCCCAAGTTCCCTTCTTGGAGGCAATCAATGCTACCCATTTCTTGGGTATCTCTGAGAATCGACCTGTATATACACAAGCAAATGCATCCATGTATAGTATATTTGTGTGTGTGTGACTGGACACATACATATACGCTCCTTTTTTCCTCCAGTGTTTTTTCTTTTCTTTTTTTAAAATATATATATATGTACACACACACACACACACATACACATACACATGCACACACACTTTTTCTTGTTTTTTAGTTTTTGGGTTTGTTTTCTTTAACTTTGTTTTTTCCACTTAATACATCTTGGCAATTGGTCCTTATGAGCACTTGGAGCTTCCTTTTTCATGGCTGCATACTATTCTAAGGATGTTCCATAATTTCACTATCACCTACTGATAGATATGTAAGTTATCTTCATTCTTTAGCTATTGCAAACAATGTGTAATGAATATCTGCAAGCTTATCTTTAAGATAAATTCCTAGTCATGAAATTGTTAGTCAAAGAGAAGTGGGAATTTTCAGAGCTATACATCTGGTCTTTTACAGTGGAAGTTTTTGTGCTAAAGTATGTAAATGTTCCTTATAAACTCAACCTGAAATACTGGTATTATATGAAGATTATTTCATCAATCCACTAAATGATAATAAAGCAAAAACCATTACTCTAAATGAAATCTCCTTAGGCATGTGTATGTGTCGAAAGAAGAGAGCTAACTTTGACACTGGTGCTGTCAGTTGCTCTGCACCCAGATGTGTACTGATTTTGCTTAGAAATGCAAGAGACTTAGCTTTTCTTATTTTGTAATGTACTCTCAGAGGGATGGTTTTATGATGCTGAAGTAAATGAGATCATGACAGCACAGTACTTGGCACAAAATCATTACCCAAAAATGGTAGCTAATATTTTTATTTTAATAACAGCTTGAACTTCTGGAGAAAAAGCATTAGTTTAGTCATCAGAGGTCTGTGAGGGCACTTGACAATATGTATATAAAAAACTAACTTGAATTCTTCCTAAGAAGATGCTTGATACAATTTAAGGCCATATTGGAGTGCCACTTGGAAATTCTGCAGCCCTGTTGGAATAAATATGTGCTAGGTATCTAAGGCCAGTAAACTATGAAAACTAGAATTACAGTTTCAAGATATTATTTACCTTTCCAATTCAGTGAAAGAGTAAACTATAATTATTCCAGAACGATTACTGTAATTCCCTTGCCATGGGTAAGCAGTATAGACTTCAAAAGAGCACCCTAGTCACTAGGATCTACCTATATTTTGGGTGCAAACTATTACTTTTGGGACATCTTTCTTCATAAAAAACTACTGGCATATAGAACTTATGTTTTGTTGCTCAACGATGTCTACTCAATTAGTTTTAACACAGTATGAAATTAACATGGTGCTCCATGCCACAGCAATTTTCTTAATCCAATATTGTATAAATCTACTTCTTGATATTAGCTGTTTCTTGGGTATAGTTGCTTTATCTAACCCTTGCAAGCTTCAGATCCAGGTAATTATAAGTTGAAAGAACCTTGCTGGCTGCTCTTACTCTATAAGGAAATACAACAGTCTGGGTTCGATCCGGCTTCGAGTTCTATCTTGATAAAAGTTTTTTGGTAAGACCTTGCTCAGAAATATGACCTATGGTGTTCAAATATTTATAAATATGTTAGTTTTAGAAACCACTAATCATTAGTTTATACTAGGCTTTGTCTTTCAGTGTTTATAGGCATTCGTCTCCTGAACTCTAAAGGAAAGAGGCCGATCCTGACTTGCACAACATATCTTTACCTTTTTCCAACGATGCTCAGGCCCAGTCCTCGGCCAGCCTTCTTCTGCAGATCCACAGGGAAAATCTCCAAGTTCTCCTCGTCCCTGTAGTGTGCCTCGTCTCTATACACCACCAGCCGCACTTTCTGGGGGGTCTGCCTCAGAGCTGTGATGGCTTCTTCATGGCTGGAGCTCCTCAGGTCAATCCCATTCACCTGGAACAATGGGCATCCCGAGATGGGCTGCTGACCACACAGGCCTCTCTGCTTGCTCTGTCTGCTACAGCTCCTTGATAAAACCCACGAAAAACCTCTAGAAATTTTCAGCTATTCCCAAAGCACACAGGTAGTGACCACAAGCAGTATGAGCTGCTTCAAATACAAAAGAGGTAACCCTTATATTCCCCCACCCCACATAAGCACAGAAGGTGGGTTAGTACACGTGATAATGAAATTTTATGTGGCTGTCAATCTTACTATGGAATCAGAATGAGAGAAAGAGAGGAGACAGAAAATGGGAGGGGGGAAGGGAGGAGAGAGAGAGAACACTAACTGGCTCACTTCAGAGGTCAAAGGGAAATAAATGTTAGTGTTCGGTCAGCACTTTTAGACTGTTTTCTTATTGGATATGACATCCTCACTTTTAATTGCTCACATCACAACTACATCAGAATAGGCCCAAAAGGAGACAGGGGAGTGGTGTTTCCACCAGCATCAAAGACCCTCTGAAGTCATTTCATTTGAATCTGATCTGAGTGAGAAGAGAGGACCACGCATTGGAAAGTACAGTGGAATGCATGGTGTACTGGAAACAGCACTGAGGAAAGCCAAGGCTCTGCTTCTGGCAGAACCTGTGAATTTGGGCAAGTTGTGTAATCTCTCTGAGCCTCTGTTTCCTTATTTGTTAAATGGAGATCATAGGCAACTTATTTGTTTACTTTTTACTTAAATAGTTCTGTAGTGCCTGTGTGCTAGCCCTTTATGAATATTTACTCATTTAATCCTTATACTAACTCTCTGAAATACATAATGTTATTATTACCATTTACAGATGAAGAAATTGAGGCAGAGAGCAGTTAAGGGACTTGACCAAGGTTACATAGCTAGTAGGTGGAGAAGCCAAGATCCGAACCCAGACAAACTCTCCACCTTTAGTCTATACACCACGCTGCCTCACAATTTACTCTTAGAATGGGTTACCAGAGCCCCCTGCCAGAAAGCAAGTCTTTGTGAATTTGAAACACGGGAGAAGTCGAGGGGCAGAGTGGCCTCAGACTAAAGGGAAGGGGATCATGGGTCATTCCCTTAAGGTCACAGCTGAGAAAAGAGCCAAACAAAGGGAAGGAGGGGCCCAGGCCACAGCCAGGTGGAGGGCAGAATGGAAGAGTTCCCTCGAGATGTCGCCACTGCTTTTTCCGGTCCAGCCCTGTGTGCCCATGGCAGGTCAAGTCTGTCTCTGAAGCTTCGTGCCTCCATCTGTACAATGGTCTAAGGCTTTTCCAGTTCTAACATCCTAAAGACTAAAGACCCATGGCATACAGAATGTTTACAAAGAGAGAGAAAAGAATGAACCCTTCTTCAAGAAGGTGACTTTTGAGCTGTTGTTTAAAGCTGATTCTGTGAGCCAAGAAAAAGTTTTAAAGCCTAATTTAAACTGCTTTTTCTTTTCTTTCGTTCCCCCCCCCCCCCCCCCCGCTGTTTCTTTTCTGGTATATCTTGGTGGCTTGTGTTCACTTAGATGAACTATATCCAGGTGCACAGTGGTTAAGAACATGGGTTTTGGATATAGATGGACTATAGTTCAAGTGCTGACTCCAACTTACTGGCTACGTGAAAATTAAGCTAAGCTTCGTTGTGTCATCTATGAATTGGAGATAATCACAGTCATGATACCTACATAGTGTTGTAAGGATTAAATGAAATAAACTCTGTAAAATATTTGGCACAGGGCTTGGCACATAGTTATGTTCAATGTAACTTAGAAGTTGATATTTTACAAGGGATCAGAGTAACTGCAGCCAGGGCTGTTTTCTTCTCAGTATGATCATCGGCACAGGGCTTGGCACATAGTTATGTTCAATGTAACTTAGAAGGTGATATTTTACAAGGGATCAGAGTAACTGCAGCCAGGGCTGTTTTCTTCTCAGTATGATCATGCACTGTTGCTTCAGGCTAGTGAATGAATTCTTACTGTTTACGAGGTAAACCCCAGAACAAAGGGTAAAACAATGTCTCTCGAAAATGTGGTCTGAACTGATTATTTTCCTGTATTCCAATAGATGGCACACAAGACCACTTTTGTTGCTTAATTCAAAAAAACAGTTACCTCTATGGATTGAAGGTGGAGTTTCCCAAGCCTCTAAATACCTTCTGAAAGGCCATAACAAATACACTTTTAATTAAAAGCACTGTCATTAAAATCTAACATTACAAGAGCAACTCCTACTAAATTCCAGCATTCAGGTGTTTGCTCAAAGTGATTTAAGTTCACAGTTTCCATTTTTGTGCTTATGAAGAGATACCATTAAATGTACCAATAATTCTGAGAGAAATATCACTGTGTGGGTAGAACATTGTGGAATGATGCATTACCTTAAGTGCCTTAAAGAAGCACTGTATGCATTATTTAGACACTGATTATAGAGGAGGGTGGTCATAGCAGGGCTCCCAACTTGAGAAGAAAGTCCATAGGAAGCCCCTAGGAAGTTGTGAATAGAAGTGAATCCCATCCCCTGGGTAGAACAAACAGGCACGTGGGGAAGTGGGTGAACCATTGCTTGAGAAGGAAAGGATAACCAAACTATGGCAGCAGTTCTTCACTATTTTATTTTACAGGGAAAATCGGGCAAAATTAACTGTCTACTTTTTCTGTTCCCACTTGCACCAAAATATAAGGGGATAATGGCAGTAGGTTAACAGGAAGGATTGGCATAAAAGGAGAACCAGAAAGAAGATGTGGTTCATGCTCATTGTAGGATAATCTTGCCATGAAAAAAATTATTGGACTATATCTTTGGAAGCAAAATCTGACTTGTCCTAATTTTAACATGAGGATAGCATAGGTTGAGTATCCCTAACCCAAAATCTGAAATGCTCCAAAATATGAAACTTTTTGACAGCCAACATAATGCTCAAAGGAAATGCTCATTGGAGCATTGTGAATTTTGCATTTTCAGATTAGGCATACTCAACCTGTTTTAAAACCATGGAAGTCCAGTTTGCAGAATGCAGAGGACTCTCATGAGTGGAAAGGCCATTGTTTGGAAAAGTGCTGATGTAGAGTTGCCTTGTTTCATGGTCTTAAAACATCCCACCAAAGCTGGCCTGTCTTCTTCTCAAGGAACCCTGCAGGCCACAGACTGATCCTGCATCATTATGCATTTGTACTCACTGACCACAACTAGGATAGGCCCACATCTGGGGTCTAAAGCTGCTTAGGAAGGAAACATATTACTTGACCAAACTGAGAGCTGTATTTCCTGATTAAACACATGACAGACTCATGAACTAGACTGTCGGAGGCAAGAGAGGTGCCGGTACTGGCTATCTTTAATGAGAAGGCCATCCAGATTAGACAATATAATTCTGCTAGATGCCAGGAAGTGGTTAAATGACCTTTCAAATTCTCCTTCCACTCAGAACAAATTCATTTTCTTTATGCTAATCTTTTCTGAGTGTTAACTTGTACATGAATATACTTTGTGGAAGAGAGCAGCTACAGCTGAGGACTCATCCAATACAAATAGATCACTAAATTTTTTTCAAATTGAGGCAAAGTGGTATAAAATAAACTGTAAATATTTAAAGTGTACAATACGATAGGTTTTAATGTATGTGTATTTATACCTGTGAAGTCATTGCCACACTCAAGATAATGAACTTACTAGATTTAGTTTCAGTGAACGTTATAGAATAATTTATGGACTTACAATTCATATAAGCACAAGGCACATACGCATCTACACTATTTTAAGTATTTAATCTATTAATCTTAAACAGACAATTACAATAATACCAATTGATAAGATATTCTACAGAGGGAAAAAACAAAAAACAAGAAATAAAAAACCCTGGAACTCCTGACCATTAAAAAACTGTGTTGCGTGCTAAAGCAGTCAAGCCAATTCCCACAGAGGCCTTGCTTATTTTTCTAACCTCATACGCTTGTACCTTAATGAATGTACTGGGAATATGTCCTAATCTAATGATGAAGCACAGTAAAGGCCTGCAGAGAAACCCTATAACTTGGCCTGAATTTAATTTGTAGGCAGCCTGGCCTCTCCTTTAACCCCTTCTCACCAGTGATTTCTGCCCTTAATTATATCTCTGGTTTCATCTTGGGAGGCAGAAATAAACCACCAAAGGGAAAAATAAAATTCTATGATGTCATTTGAAATGTGCTATATTGAACTTGCAAAGCAAAAATGCACATGCCTACCATAAAATGCTAACTGTTCAATTAAATTCATCCAATGAAAGAAATAAATGTTGCCTAAAGGTTTCACATCATCAAAAAAACTCTTTAGTTCCACCTACCAGAATGCCTGGCATTGGCGTTCCATTCATCCGTTCCCTAGTTCAGACACTGCCTACCTTGGCACTTTTAAAAAGGCTTTTTAACAATTTTGCTAAATAAGAGTGAATTTGAAAGAGTCAAGTTAAGCATTTCAATTTCTATTAGGTACCATATATTGCCTAAAGGGAGGAGATTCTACATTTTCATCATCTTGAAAACACTGGTGGCAAGGCATACACTTCTATTTGACATAAAGATTTATTAGGATTAAGAAAATAATATTTAGGCTGCAATAAAATCTTTAAAATATCAGGTGTGTTTGTTTATGTGTGTGTGTCTAATATGTATGTGTTTTTAGGAGGGAAGTTAATAAGGTATAATGCAGAAACAAAAAAATCAAATTGCAATATTATACAGTCTCCTTTGATATCAAAATTATAGAACCATAAATTGTACTTTTTCTTCTAATTAAAAGAAGTTTTCAGATAGATACAGATTGATAATCTGTCAAGATTCTAAACCAGTGACTTGCTCAATGTGCATTGAAAAAGAAAAGGCACACAGTACATATTTTGTTAAATAAGAAATCAGTGAGGATGCAGTTGAGTAGAATTGACTTTGCAGATCAAGGTCAGCAAAAGAACCATATTTGCTGGTATAAAATAAAATTCAAAATCATATACCTCTAATATCTGGTCAC